CAGGTGCCCCTCGAGATGGAGAACGACGTGGAGCCTGGCGCGGCGCCGGCGGCTGGCGCACCGCCGGCGGCTGCGGCGGCGCTGGCCGCTGCCCTGGCCAGGGGCAACATGGGGGTGGAGGAGGGGGGAGGGGACGAGGGCGAAGCGACGCCGGCGAGGGGCGCGGACACGCAGGAGGGGCACGGAGCCGCGCCCCCCGGAGCAGCCCATCTTGGCGGTGCAGTCGGCGCCGCTGCTGCCTCGGGGAATAGCCGCGAGTGCTGGTGGTGCCCCCCCCGCGCCTGCCCCAGCCTCCGGAGCCGCCTCACGGACCAGGGCGCGCACGTGGACGGCGACCCTGCAGCCGGCGCGCCGGCACGTGGCCCTCTGCTACGCGTGCTGCGAGGGGTTCGGCCACCGAGAGGCGCGGCTGGCCAGCCGTGCCAACCCGGATCGTTACTTCAGGCACCCTGCCTGCGCCCCAGGGGGCACCCCCGCAGGCGCCGTGGAAGGCCCTGCGGCGCTGCCCGAAGATGCGCGGGCGCAGGTCCTAGCCTGCGCGGTGGGCGGCGCGGCTGAGGCGGCGGCCGCGGGCCCACAGGCAGCTGGCGCCAGCGGGGCGGCGAGCGCGCAGGAAGACGACCACGCGCCAGCGGGCGACCTGGAGCCCCGCCGCGCGGCGGCGGCTGAGAAGGGCGAGCTCCCCGGGCTCCCGTGGCGGGACACTCTGGACCTAACGGGCGCACTCCGCGAGCCAGTGCCGACCTGGACGGCTGTCCCTGACAGCCTCACGGCAGCCGTGGGCGACTTGCTGGCAGCCGCACTCAAGGCGGTCGCTGCGCAGCCAGCCCGGGGGGGCGCTTGGACGCGACTGCTGCTCTTGCCGCGCCTGCTCTTTGCCTCCCGGGTGCGATGACGAACGGGGGGCCGCGTCTGCCACGTAGGTTCTTACCGCGAGGATCCGGCAGGCGTGGGCGGGCGACTGGGCCGGCCTCTGGGCGGCGACCGCGCGCCCTGGCGACGGCGACGGAGGCGGCCGACGCCCGCCAGACCTGGCGGCGCAGGCCCGCCGGGTGCACGAGCTGCTGATGCTTGGGGAGGTGTCCCGGGCCGCCGCGGCCGCCGGGGGCCATGGGAAACTGGCCACTGGGGCCGGCGCGGGCCCCCAGCTCACCGCGCTCTCCCCTCCGGCAGGCGGGCCGCGGGCACGCGCGCCGCCGCCGCCGCAGGCGGGCGACTGGGAGGAGGCAGCTGCAAAGGAAGTGGCGCGATCCCTCGAGAAGTTTCCGCGGCACTCCGGCCGGGGGCCCACCGGTGCGCGCTTCGAGCACTGGGCAACCCTGCGGGGCCACGCGGAAGGCAAGGCGGCGCTCGCGGAGGCGCTGGGCTGTCTCCTGCGCGGCGAGGCGCCCGCGTCGGCAGCGCAGGCGCTGCTGGGCGGCCGCCTGATCCCGCTTCAGAAGCCACAGGGCGGGGTGCGGCCCCTCGCCCGCGGGGAGACGCTGCGCCGCATGGCGGCGAAAGCGGCGACGACGCAGCACAGGGAGATCATCGCCCAGGCGGTGGGTCCGCGCCAGTACGGCGTTGGGCGGCGCAGCGGCGTCGAGCTGATGCACAGGGTGGTGGCCGGCGCCGTGGAGGCATCACCACAGAGGGCGGTTTTGTCGCTGGACGTGGCAAACGCCTTCAACGAGGTGGACCGGGACGTCGTCATCCGCGAGGAAACGAGCAGGCCCCCGCCCCTCGCGCGCCTCGCAGCCGCGCGGTGCGGAGGGAACACCCCGCACGGCGCGCGCCTCTCTGGCGCTGTCACCGCGGTGACAGCAGAGCGGGGGCTCGACCAGGGCTGCCCCCTCTCGCCGGCCTTTTTCGCCACGGCCACGGCGACCCTTTACGAGGACTTGGCGCGCGCGCTGCGGCGGGACACGGGCGCCATCGTGGTGGCGTACCTGGACGACGTCTACCTCGTGGGCACGCTGGAGGAACTCGCTGCGGCCGCAGCAGCCGCGCCGGGACTCTACGCGGCGCGCGGACTCCGCCTGAACGGGAACAAAACCAAGGTGTGGAACCCGCACAACCTGCAGCTGCCTGCGACCCTTGCCGCAGCGGAGACACCCGAGCTCACGTGCGTGGGCAGCCGCCTGCCCTTCCTCGGCGGGGCCGCAGCCGAGGGCCTCGGCGACGACCACGACCCGGCGGCGACCAGCTTCGGCGCGGCGGCCGCGCCGGAGACGGCGACCCGGCACCTGGCGGCCTACTTGGCGGCCCTCGAGACCTTGCGCAAGCACGGCTTGAGGGCGCAGGACGAGCTGGCGCTCCTTCGCACCTTTGCGAACGGTGCTGCCCTGCACCACGCTCGCGCGCACTTGCTCAGCGAGGCCTGGTGCGCCGACTACGACGCTCGGGTCCTGGGGCACCTACAAAGCGTGACTGGGCAGGCCCTGACCGCGGCGGCGCGCGAGCAGGCCTGCCTCCCCCTGGCAGATGGGGGGCTCGGCTTGCACGGCCTCGGGGAGCGCCGCCTGCCCGCCTTCGTGGGTTCCTGGCTGGCGTGTCTGGCCGAGGTGCGCCGCGAGCTCGGCCTGCCGAGCCTCGAGGCCTTCGCCGCGGCCTGCCCCCGGACCTGGACGACGGCGAGAGAAGCGGGGCACCTGGCTGGCGCGAGCGCCGCGGACTGGCTCCGCGCGGCAACGGAGCGCGAGGCGAAAGCGCAGCGGCGCCTCACGAGGCCGGCACAGGAGCGGCGCCGCGCTCTCCTGCTCGCCTCCCTGCCGCCGCCAGAGCAGGCGAGCCTCCGCTCGGCCAGCGGGAAAGGCGCCAGGAGCTGGCTCCTCGGCCGCCCACAGAGCCGGACCACGTCTTGGCGGACGAGCACTTCCGCCCAGCGCTGGCCTTGCGGCTCCGCCTACCGCTGCCGCTGGGGGCCAGCGCAACCTGCCTCCCGGCGCCGCCCCGACGGCTCCTGCTGCGGGGCTGACCTGCGCGCAGACCCCGGGCATCCCCTGAATTGCCCAATCGCTGTGCTGAAGCACGACGGTGTCCGGAACTGGCTCGCGCGTTGGCTAGCGGAGCGGGGCGCCACAGGCGTGAGGACGGAGCAATTCGTCCCCGCCTGGGACAGGCCGCGCCCGGACGGCACCCTCGAGGCCGCGCGGCTGGACGTGGCCTTCACCGACCCGGTCGCCGGGGTCACCTACGCCGACGTGGTGATCACCGACGCGGCCTTGGGCGCGGGCACACCCGCCGGGCGAAGCCGCGCCGCGCGCGACGGGGCCGCGGCGGCGGCGGCGGGACCCGCAAGCACAGGCGCTACCCGGGCCCGGCCCTGGTCGCCTTCGCCTTGGAGGCGCAGGGCCGAGCCGGGAAGGAGGCGCAGGCGCTCCTGCGGACTTGGGCGGCGGGCGACCCGGCAACGCTGACGGCGGCGCGCCAGAGCCTGGCCGCCGCTCTGCAGCGCGGCAACGCCGAGGCTCCCCGCACGGCCACCCTGGCCGCTGGCGCGGCGCGCCGCCTGCCGGGCCCCGACGGCCCCGCCCCGCCCGAGCGCCGCGCCAGACTCAGCGCCGGGCCTGCGGCGGCGCTGCCCTTGCCAGGCTGAGCGCCCCCGGCTAGGCCGACGGGCTGCAGGGAGGCGCGCCCGCTCCTGCGCGCCGCCTGGCCGCCCCGAGCCGCGCGCCCTGCTGGGCGACCGCCGCTGAGACGCTGGCGGAGGCTGGCCCGGCCCCCCGGCGCCGCCGCGGCTGCCGGCGCTGCCCAGCGGCCACCCCACGCCGCGGACGCTGCGGCGCGGCCGCCGCGGGCGCGCATTGGGTCAGGTGGGGGATGATTCAGACGACCTCCATGCAACGTCACAACCACCTGGCCCGCGGTCCGCGGCGGCCCCTGCGCCGCTGCCAGAGCTGGACGCCGCGGCGCTGCCGGGCGGCGCCGCGGCCGGCCCGCGCCCCGCGGCCTGGCCGCGCGCGCGGGGCAGCAGCCTCCGGCCGGCCGCAGCAGCCGCGGGCGCGCGGGGGCGGCGCGGCGGGGCGCGGGGCGCGCGGCGCCGGCCCGCGGCGGCGCGCGGCGGCTCGCGGCTCGCGCGCCGCGGACCGCAAAGGCGGCGGGCCCCCCACCGGACTCCGGGGGGCGCCGCCGCCGCGCTGCCAGGAGGAGGAGGAGGAGGAGGAGGAGGAGGAGGAGGAGGAGGAGGAGGAGGAGGAGGAGGAGAGGAGGAGGAGGATGTGGAGGAGGAGGAGGAGGAGGAGGGGGAGGGGGTGTGGGGGAGGAAGGGGAAGGGGAGGGGGAGGAGGAGGAGGACGAAGAGGAGGAGAGCTGGAGGAGGAAGGGGAGGAGGGGGAAGAGGAAGAGGAGAGGGAGGAGGATGTGGAGGAGGAGGAGGAGGAGGAGGAGGAGGAGGAGGAGGAGGAGGAGGAGGAGGGAGGCGGAGGAGGAGGAGGAGGAGGAGGAGATTTCTCGGGGCGGACGATTTATTTTTCACCGTTGGGGCGCCCCCTCGCGAGCCTCGCCCTCCTTATCCTCACACTAATTTTCCTCTCGTTCATTTCCCTCTCGCCCAGGAGCGCGCGTCCCCTCTTCTATATACAGAAACTCCCGATCAACCGCAGAGCGGCCGATGTTACTAATATTCCCCCTGTAGAGGGACAGGCCCGACTTAATCCATGACTGCCATCAGACCACCCCAACCCAGCCCGAAGGCCCGAATTGCGGGCTGTTTTCTCCGTGTCCCCCCCCCCCGCCACTGGAAGTGGAGGGCGAATCGGGGCCTTCGGGGTGGGTCGGGGTGGTTTGGTGGGCGGTGGCTCCAGGGAGCCGACGCCGAGGCGCAGCTGCTGCTGCAAAGCATCCCGAGGCGCCACACCTCCAGGAGCCGACGAGCACCCGCGGGAGAGACAGCACGGGGCCGCGCCCGCCTCGCCTCGCCCGGGCCCGGGGTCGTCATGCGCGCGAACACGCCGCTGTGCGGAGCGAGCAGAGCGGGGACGCCACCGCTGGCGTCCCACGTCAGCTTCCGCACGTTCGGGTCATAGCAGGTCCCATCGGCGAACCACTTCAGGACCCTGGCCCGCTCGAACAGGCGCACGTTGGACAGCTCGGGTGCGGGGGTCTCCTCCTCCACCTCCCACCTGCACCACCTCCACCTCCACCTCCGCCTCCACCTCCACCTGCTCCACCTCCTCCACCTCCTCCTCCTCTTCCTCCTCCTCCTCGGCCTCCACCTCCTCCTATTTCCTTCTCCTCCTCCTCCTCCTCCTCCTTCTCCTTTTTCTCCTCGCTCTCCCCCTTTTTCTCCTCGCTCTCCAAGGTGTGCTCTAGAGATGGGAACACTTCCTTGTCGTCGCCGTCGTCGCTCGACGTCGTCCGCCTCCCTGGCTCATCCGGCTCTGACGGACCTCCTGGCCCGTAAGTGCCTGGCCCCTCCAGCCTGGCCCTGTGGCGCGGGGCCCCTGGCGTTCGTCATCGCCGTTCGCCCCCCCCTGGCCACCCGAGCCCCTCCCCGACCCTCGCCGCGCCTGGGCCCCCCCGCTGTTCCTGTCCGTCGCCGCTCCCGCGCGCAAGAGCCAGGACATGCGTGCCCCTTGCTCCTCCTCCTCCCCCCCCCCCGTGGAACCGACCAGGCTCACCTCCTCCTCGTCCTCCTCCTCATCCCCCTCCTCCTCCTCCTCCCCCTCCTCCTCCTCCTCGACCTCCTCCTCCTCCTCCTCCTCCTCCTCCTCCTCTTCCCTCCTCTTCCTCCTCCTCCTCCTCCTCTTCGTCCTCCCCCCCCCCCTGCGTGGACCACGGGAGGCCCCCGAAATGTGCGGGCTGGCCGGGGAGATCCCCCAGCACCCCGCAGAGCGGGCGATAGCGGGGGGGAGCTTCGGTGGAGCTCCCTATTGGGGCACTTTCGCGAGCGCACCTAGCTTGTCCCCCTCCCCCTCCTCTCCTCCTCCTCCTCCTCCTCCTCCTCCTCCTCCTCCTCCTCCTCCTTCCTCAAGCAACTGGGGCCCATGTTTTCTGGACCTGCCTCTGCGCTTGAGGTTTCGTCTCCCCTCGGGAGACGACTGAATCAGAGGCAATCGTAATCACTCACAGCCCTCGGCGCCCGCCATGGCGCCTCTCGCTCGTCGTGCTGGCTGGTCTGCTGGCACTCCGTCATGGCGCGACGGGGGCTCTGTCGGCTACTGGAAATGCGGGCACTGCGGCTGCGGCAAGAACCTTGGACACTACTGGTTCTGCAGCCAGTGCCACGGCAAGAGGAAAGAGGTCGAAGCCGCCATCCCGCCCCAGCCCGGGGGAGCCTGGGCAGGAGACTGGCAGCGCACGACCTGGCAGGAGAAGCCGCCCATGGAAGGTCTTCCTGTCGGCCTCCAGGGCGGTGCGGCCCCTCCGCCTGTCGCTGGGGATCAGGACAAGCTCTCGGACAAAGAAGTGGTGCAACTCATCAGCCTCCATCGGAAGATGGGCAACGAGGCATCGGCAGCGGCCCTTCAGCTGAGGCTCGAGAAGCGACGTGCTGGTGACCCTCCTGTTCCCCTGCAGGCCCAGGCCAACCAAGTGGTTCGTCACATCAAGCAGCTGGGAAAAAAAAAGCTCCAGCACGATTTGGATCAGTATACTCAATGGTCAAACTGGCTCGCCGACAAGAAGGAGTCCATTGGGGAGGTGCGGCGCGAGCTGGCTGGGGAGATGCAGAAGTACCAGGGGCTGGTGGATCAGCTTAGGGCCCAAGTCTGTCCAGCGCCTGCCACGCCACAGAAGCCGCGCTTCGCCCTCCAGGACCTCCTGGATGAGTCCAGCGACTTCCTGGACATGGGCAGTGTCGAGGAGGTCTTCGGGGTGGACGGCTCAGTCTATGAGGTTCAGGAGTCCGACACCCAGGAGCTTGAGAAGAGGACCGCGCAGCTCAAGGAGTCGATGCAGAAGGCCGCTCGCCAGCTCTCTGGCGAGGCCCAGCGGCACTTCAAGAAGCTCAAGGAGGATCACGCCAAGCACGTCCAGAGGATGGGTAAGAAGCGCAAGGTCGGTACTTCAGGTGAAGCTGCGGCGGCGACACCTGGTGTTTCTGCGGAGTCCATGGGCGAGGCCCAAGATCATGCTGGAGACGGTGGAGGTGATCATTCGAGTGGTGCGGCGGCGTCATCTTCGGGGGGTTCGGCTGGGTCATCGTCGGCGGCGCAGTTGCTCGCCAGCGCGGACAAGCTCATCGGGCCCCTGTCAGATCCCCCCCCTGCCAGCGCGTAGCCGACAGGGGGGACTTCATGAATGCGTTCTCTCGCGCGGCAGCAGGGACGCTACTCCACCATCTGGGTCGACTGGGTCCTCCTGGTCATCGGCGGTGGCTTCTGGTTCACCCTGTGAGGGCCAGCGCGGAAGGTGCTCGCCCAGCCATGGGGCCCCTGCCATTTCTGTTCGAGAGGCTCTTGAGATAGCCAAGGATTTTTTAGGCTGCCCACCGAGGGCGGCGTGCCCTCGGACCCATCCAAGTTTCTGTCAGTGCCCTCCCTGCCCTGGTTGCACGTTTCAGCGGTCGATCGAAACGGTAAATTGCACGAGTTGGTCTTCCCTCGAGTCTTGGCTTGTAACCGCGACTTCCCACATCGTACTCGTGCAGGAACACCACCTCGCATCGAACGACGACGTCGCCAAGGCAGGACAATGGGCGCTAAAGAGGAGATGAAGGCTCGGTTCAATCCTGCGACCCGCACGCCGGCGGGAGGCACCTCAGGAGGTGTCGCGATGTTGGTTCGCTCTTTCCTGGATTTCCACGATCCCGAGTTCGGTCAGATCGTCGCCCCTTCCAGGGCCATGAGTGGAATTGTTCAGGTTCCAGGGGCTCCGTCGATCCTGGTCTCGTCGGTCACCTCTTCGATAGCGAGGGCCCCACTGACAGGAATCTCGATTTGCTGGCGGCCGTGTCGGCCAGGCATTGTTCGTTTGAAGGTCCGAACGTGATCGGAGGCGACTTTCACATGGCGCCTGATACATTGGTTACTTCTGGAGTTCCTGGATATCTTAAGTCTAACGTCATTTATCCTTATATCGGCACATGTACCAATACTGGGGGCTTAAAGGTTCTCGACTACTTTGTGCTATCATCAAGCTTCAGTCGGTGCATCCAGGAGGTTTCAGCAGTCCTAGGCAGCGACATCAAGACGCGCGCGCCCGTGCGCATCCTCTTTTACCCGCAATTGGCTGTGCTCAAGGTCCTCACTTCCCCCCCCCGGCCTGAGCTGCCGTCCGAGCGCCCCATCGGGCCAGAGCCGTGCTCGGAGGACCACGCCACAGTCCTGGATTGCGCCCGCGCGGGGCGCGAGTTGATAAAACGTTGTGCTACAAGGTCCCCGGTTCAGAGGCATCTTGACGTGCTGCATCGAGTTTGGGCCGACGCGGCCGATGTGGGAGCTTTCCAGAATTTTGCAGACCAAGCTGGTTATATGGATCCCGCGGACGGAGGCCTCGATTGGCCTGGGTTTCTGCTCTGGACAAAGACACCCGCCCTCCTGTTCGGGATCCTGGTCTGGTACCTGGTCGATGGTTGTCGAGGGCCTCGAGGTTTATCTTGGGGGCGGTCGATTCAGGAGACGGTGTGGCCTTTGGGCGTTTCGGAAGCATTTCCTGGATCCTCCCGCGCATGTTCGTCGGGCTTGGGGCGATTTCCAATATCTTTTTCAGCAGGGATGTGGGCTCCTCGAGAATTTTCAAGATGTTTCCCACGATGCGTCAGGTTTCCGTGAATTTCAAGCTCTTTTCGAACCCAGAGTGGCAGAGTATGCAAAGTCTTCCTCACAGCGGTCCTTAAAGGAGTGGCGTAGCTGGCTTCTGGATGGAGTTGACAAGGGGGGTAAAAACGCTCACCGCCGGACTCGTGAGTTGAAACCTTGGGTGGCGACTACCACGTTGTCTGCCGACGGGCATGTTTTGTCGGACCCTGCGTCCCTTCTGCAGTCGGAGGGGGAGCGGTTCGGGGCCCACTGGGATTCCAAGCCGCACCCACATGTTGGCGAGTCTGGGCCCATGGTTTTCATGGAACCATGGGGGCCGCTTGCTGCAGATGATCTGATTGCCGCGAGCAAGACTTATGCAGTAGGCACGGCCACCAGTGTTGATGGGTTTCACATGCGGCACTACTCTTTATGCATACCGACCTGTTGGATGCAGTCAGCGCCTTATGTATGATGATGGAAGCCACGGGCCTCCTACCGCACCCTGCCCAGGTGCTGATGACCGCGCTGCTGCCGAAACCAGCGGGCGGGCACCGCCCCATCGGGCTTTTCTCGTCTTTATACAGGCTGTGGGCGCGCGCCCGAGGGCCCCATGCAGAGCGTTGGGAAGCCGGGCATCAGAGATTGCACCTCGCTTCTGATTCGTTCAACTCTGCCTCGGATGTCGTGTATCGCCAGGGGGTCAAGAGCGAGCATGCCGTCGGTCGTGGGCATAGCTGTTGCAATATCCTATGGGATGTGTATCAATTCTACGAGACGATTCGGCTTCCAAAGCTGCTAGATCGGTGCCAGGCCTTGGATTTCCCGATGCAGATTGCCAGGGTATCCGTAGGGGCTCATCGAGGAGCTCGATTTGTTTCCCTTGGGGGCCTCCTGCATGGGCCCCATTTTGTCGCGCGCGGGGTTGTGGCTGGATGCAGCATGGCTACTGCCTACGTGCGAGTTTATGTTATTCCTACTGTGGACCCCATCAGGTTCCCCCAGCAGGTCTCCCTTGACATCTACATTGACGATTAAGGGCTCTCGAGCTCTGGGACATATGAATCGGTGGTTCCTCGCTTATGAAGGCCTCGGTGGACCTCTTGATGGGTCTTGAGACTGACATGAAGGCCACTGTTTCTACAGGCAAGGCGGCGGCTGTTTCGTCTCATGCGGGTGTTGGGCAGGCCATCAAGCAGTTCTTTGGGCGGCGCGGCGGCCATTCTACTGACGCGAGGACCTGTCAACCTCGGAGTAGACGACGGCGCTGGACAGGCTCGTCGCACAGGAGGTCGAGGTAAGAAGGCCAAGAGCCGACTGCATCATTTTCGGATTCGATGTAAGCGCGTTCGTAAAGTTCGTCAGGCTCTCGGCCG